GATACTCTGAGATAATTTTAATTAACGCCTCACGGAAAGGAGGAGCAGCGTACGCGAGACTTTTAATTCATATTCCACTTTCATTACACTTTTAATGAAATAAAATATATTTTTTGCATTCTTCTTCTTTCGGAGGCAAAATATTAAAAAATAATTCTGGAAGTGCTGGAAGTTATGAATATAACAACCCTTAAAAATTCACACGCGTTAGTTTAAGGAATTTTTTCAAAGGGCAGATTGCGAACGCGAATTTTTAATTTCGCGAATACCTAGCTCGCAAGATTTCAATGGTAGAATGCGGTAGAATCATGATATTCGTTTCCTATGTGATTCGATAGCGTGTCACTGACCTCTGCGCGATTTAATTTATTTTTAATCCATTTCACCAATCTGGATGTGCTGCTGTCGCGCTTCGCTGGACGTTAGTGAACGATTTACATAGGCGAGTGTTTTGGAGCCATCATGTACGCCATCGAGTAGTTAATACCTATTTTCGTTTGGTCCGTACACGTTCCACAGAATTTTATTTGGCGGCAGCGGACCGTAACGAAATCCCTCGGCGCTGCGCGCCGGCTAAAATCCCGTTCCGGGGGCCGCGATTGGCGGGCGCTTGATTGAATTGGCGGTCAGTGGCGGGCATTAGGTCCAGCTTGCAAAGGATTGAATTTCTGTCACAATTATCGACCCGGTCCCTCTTATCCGCGCGCCTACGAACAAGCCCGGGATCCGCCACGAAAATTCCGTGACAATCGTCTAAACGCAGCTGCTGTCTTTAATAGAAAGGGCAACGAAGGAGGGTAAAGTCGAATCCAAATGGCTCCAAATGATGTTCGGATAAACAACGTGCAATTCCAAGCGGAATTGCTCTTACAAAGCCGCTCTTGCGATTGAATATCTTCTATTTAAAAGATGAAGTCATCTTTGTTAAATCTAAAGACGATTGAGAAACGTATTTAATTATAATGTAATATCGAAGAAAAAATAAAAAAAAAAAGATAAAAATGATTCACGCAAATATTTTTCATCATATAATATAATATCGATAATTGGATCGATTGTACAGATTATCGAGTAAGGATTCCTTAATGCAATAAGCAATCTATTCATCTTTCCTGAAGAGACTTATTGGATATAATAATTTAAGGTATTAATTTTTATGAAAAGAAAAGAGTGATCTTGAAATTTCTATGTCTGGACCCTGACGAACATTTCTTCATATTAACATCGGTCTTAACCGTTAACGCATTGGAAAGCTCCGAGAGAAGAGTGTCACGGTCGACCCGAATTGATGGCACGTATACTTTCGTCGCTAAGTCCGAAAACGTGAGATGAATCTGCGGATTAAACGACCGGAATTGCCGTCGATATTTCGATCCGGTCTCATTAGAAAGTGTTGCGCGACCGTCGTATCACAAAATACGAAATTATATGAGCAATTTCGAGATATGCTACGTATAAGCAAGTAAATCTCTATTAAATATCCAGAAAATTGATGCCATAAATATTTATTAATTTCTCGAATTAATTATATATAACATAAATATCGCTCAAGTTAAATAAATAGAAATTTAATATAGATTACATTAAAAATGAACTATGTTATTTTCTTTATTTGTTTATCCTGTGTTCATCCTTTGTAAATTACGATTTCGATGTGACTTGATTTTGATAAGCTTCTTAACATTTCCAAGTTCAATCTTGTCTAGCGATGTCGCGTGCCTCGCTAGATTCTCGGAGAGATCGAATCGCGCGATAGATGAGGTAATTATCCGTCGATATTCAGTTAATTACTGTGTGGAATATGTTAACTGGCGATGACGCGACGGTGCACTCGAACGTGAACGGCGATCGGCGCGATGTTATCCGCACTCTTGTTTTTCGTGTCCGCACAATCGAGAGCAAAGTAGATACGCCAGTGGAGAATCATCCCGATGTTACAAAACAGGATCGACGAGCAGCACTCATAATATTGTTGCAAGGTATGCACCTGCGAAAGATGAACGCTGCTCTTTAACTTCTCTAACAGCGCTGAAGTTTAGTGAAAATTATATCAGTTTATATAAGGCACGTGTAACAGAGATCCTGTCATAAAATTGACATTTTAATTCGCAAATTAAATCGCATGTAATAGGATCAAAATTAAAAAAAAAATGATAATAGTTATTATGTTATTATTGCATGCCACAAAATAATTAGATTATTACATATATTCTTCATTTACATAATTATTATTATTCTATTATTAAAAAGATATTTCTTTTTAATATTTTTGTTATTTATATTAACGTGTTATATTTATATATCAACATATTAATTTAAATTTGCTAATAATAATATTGATAATAATAAAAAATAAAACAATCGATTGTTTAGAGAAGATTCAATTACTTATGTTGATTGTCAATTATAAAACTAATACAATTGTAAAGCGTATGCTATTGAAAGAACATACTCAAAGAACTAAACTTCTTAAGAAGTTGACATCGCCATGTGACGGCACTCTACTTTGATCTGGATTGGCTTCTCTACTGTCTGATCTGGACGCGGATCCTGACCTCCGTTAACCGGGTATCAGTGACCTCACCAGTCGAACTGGATTAGATCGTAACCCGATATGAGAATACAGACTACCCACATTTTGACAGGATATAGATATATATATATATATATATTAGCTTACATTAATTGAATTAATATACGGACCAGTATAAATCGTTCTCCGTGAATTAAAGATAGAAGGATTAAAAATTTATTTCTGTGAAAAATGAATGTTCTACTAACTATTATTTTTTAATACTTATATATATATATATATATTTTTAATACTTTTGTTAATCTCTGAATTACTTATTTTAATATATTTTGTTTGAAATTGCAATTTTATTAGTTTAATCATAAAATACTTTTCATTCTGTTATTAATAAAAATTAACGATTTAAAATTCCCTAGAAAAACTTTCTAAATAAATCAAGAATAACACGCAGAAATTGAAACAAAAAGTATTTCGTCACAACCAAACGTTAACTACTAATCACATCTAGTTATTTCTCCTCTAATGGACATTAAGGACATTAAGTTTCTAACATTTTATAGAATTATCTGCCCGGTGATGTCACGTTCTTAGTAGTTTATCATCCGTTCTCCATTTATTATCTTTCACGAGGAAGACTCATCCCTAAAATATTGCGATAAAGAGGTGAAAAATAATTGTCAAAAGAGTTATAAATGCGACTTAAAAAATTTTACCTGAAAGTGGAAAAGATAAATTTAAAAAAATATATTTTTAACTTGAAAACGTAAAGATAGGAAATCTAGATATTAAAAAATATTTAAAAAATTTTCAGACTTTTGTTGAAAATACGTCTTCTTTTCAAATGTATATAAGCATTTTAATCTACAGTCTACACAAAAGTACAGTCTAATATTTTAGTCTACACAAAAAAGACACAATTGTAATTCTAATTCGGAAAGCCATCTTGTTTTTATTTTTGTTCGTTAACAATAAAGCTAAGGCTTTCAAATAAAAAAAAATTCTTCTCGTTTGTTAAACAACCTTTGACAGATGTACCTTTTCATAATCCTGTTAAAATGCGTTCCACCGGATTTTATCGCGTGACACATATACTCGATGAGAATAAAGATATAAAAGTCAATAATTGATCGTCCTCGCGTTCAATGGCGAGTAACGAGTATGCTAAATGGAGTAATTTTCGTTGCACAATAACATGTGTAAAGTAGTTTTATCAAACAGCACATTGTGTGCGCTTGCGACTTGGCAAATGGCCGACGATATTAGCGACGATTAAATCAATGTCAGTGTTTTACGTTAGGATCATGAAAACATCAGTATGGAGATTCGGAAGAGTCACAAATCGCTCCGTAAATCGCGCTTACTCGAGACGTAACGTGATATTTAAATCGGAGCCACATTAAAAGATATGTCACATCGACATGTCACATGATACTTTAATCAAAACACAAGCGATTTTCGATCGTCTTCTAAGGCAGGTGAAGCTCGTTCTAACAGTTAAAGGATTAAATCCGTGCTTTATATCTCGAATCGTATTCGAGAAACTAATTGAGAACCGCGAAGTGCGCTCGTTAACGAACGTAATTGTTCTTGGATATACGAGGGGATTTAATTACACGGCACCTTCGTCCGCGCGCCGAGCGCAGCGTGCCTCGTATTAATGAGCGACAATCGCAGAGGTAAGTAATTACGCAAAGAGTGGTCGGCGTATCAACAATCGCGCTTTTAGCCCGATTCCACATCATTTGTTTACAAGCAAACAAACCGCGGGAACCCGCAGCACGCCGCGAGTTAATTAATCGGTCATGTATGGCCAGTCTGTATAACGTTGCTGATCGACGCTGCTGATGCCGATTTATCGCGATATTATTGGTCACGTGTAGAATCACAATCATATTTTTTACGCTGGAAATCTCGTAAGGAAAAAAAATTTTGAAATATATATTCGATACGAAATATAGCGGAGTGCAATTTGAAATTTAAATGCGTGCACGTGTCGCGTGTAGAATTTGCGACTGCAGGTTGCGATGCAGGATTGATAAAACGAGATTATTAAAGTGTCGCGAGTATTGCAAAATATTCTAAATTATAGGACTAATATGGATGAGATTTTCCAAGAGGAGTTTGTCAACGCTCAACGGGAAATACAATTCTAACAAATGTGTAAATTATTATCCCGTATTTTTCTCGTCGTAGCGCAGTTTCCGAAATATAACTCCGAGCGCAGCACCGATCCAATTCGCACACGAATTTTTTTTTTTCCCCCGGACGTTATTCGCGATCGTCCCGTGCAAACCCAAACCACCGGAGCTACCTCAATTTGCAGTCCTGCGTAAGATACGTGACGTTCGCGATATTCGCGGGGACCAATCGCGAGGACGATCGATTTCCGCCGAGCGCCGGCGGCGTGTTTCCGCCGCGTGTTTACATCTCTGTATATATGTACACATAAACGAAACAACGCACTTACCACGCTCGCGGATTCGCCCGCAGGGGAAGCGCAGATCCGTTGCTCCCTCTCTCGTTCTCGCTGATATCCGATAAAGCAATATCAATTTATCGCGTCTCCTCGCGCGTGTTCGTGCGGTCTTCCTCTTCCTTCGCCTGCTCTCGCTCGGTCGCGAAATTTCTCTCTTCTCCGATCCCGGAGTAATCCGCGTGTGTCTTCCGCCTTGCGGCGAACGTCAGGCCCGCACTTTCTCACGGAATAGCCGCGGAAGAAAAAAGGCGAAGCGAGGATGCAACCGAATGTGTCACACTCGCGCACACGCTCCCGTTACCGATCGCATCGATCTCTTCTTTCTGCAGCCGGCGAACTTTTGTACGTGTCACGTGGAGACCTGTTTCGTCGACCCACCCGTCGTCTGCTTTCTCTCTTCCTCTCGGTCGCTCTTAGTATGATCGAAGAAACGTCACTTTCTCTCTGTCCCTCCTGTATTCGTCTCTCTGTCTATCCGTGAAGCGTCACAGTTTGTTCTATTTGTCTTTGTTGCTATTTCTTCTTCTTCAATAATAAACTAGCGCGACACGTCCATCCAATCTTTTCGACAATTGTTTACTGAAATGTTTATTTGAATACTTCCAGGTATCTCGCGCGTTCGCCTCCTCTTGAACTTTATTTCACATTAACATTCCCGATCGATTTGCTTGAGAACAACAAGTCTGCTCGCTCGCTCACTCCAAGCCTCTTTTTCTCCTTTTCCCCTACTATCTTCACCTCGTCCCCGTGTCAATTGCTCTCGCACCTGTCCGGCTGACAGACCGACGCCACTGTCAGCGCACTTTCACGAGTCGCGCTGCTTTCGGTCGCGTGTGCAGAATCGCTACGACAGGCGAAACACCCGATCGGCAACGTGGACACCGGACGATCTTAGCCAATTCTCCGGGAATCCCTTCGATCTCCCCTCCGCGAAAGCGATCAAGCGCGATCGTTCCGCCGAAATTTGAGACGCGACCGGAAAAGGCGCTTCCGCTCGGACGATCGATCGATCCTTCTCGATCGATCGACACCTTGATTTTTCCTCCTCTGGACGCTCACACTGGATCCAGGACGATCCCGCGACGTTTCATCGTTCCTCCCGCGAGCATCTTTACCGCAAAAAAAAAAAAAGAATAAGAAGAAGAAGAAGAAGAAGACGAC